TCCTTCCTTTCTTCCTTCCTTCCTTCCTTCCTTCCTTCCTTCCTTCTTTCTTTCTTCTTTCCTTCCTTCCTTTTCTTCTTAAAACCTTTGAAACGTGCAAAACAACGCGTTAACCATTTTCATATCCCAAACTTTCATGTTTTACATTTCATTTCTCATTCTCTCCTCCCATTCTTTTTCAAGGCGTTTAAACAAGGATTATATGGTGATAAGTATGTTTGGATACTAGTGTCAGGCAGATATGAAGGCAAATGGTGGAACGTGTCAAGCCCACAGAGAGTCGAGTGTACTTCAGAGGAGCTGCGACAAGGAATGAGTAACGTCATTGGGACAGGTGAAATGAAATTGAGCCCGACTGATGACCCGACTGTATCAGGACAGGTACATGATTAACTTCATGGTCGCCATATTGGATGCTATTAACATATGTGTTTTCTTTTTGCGTGTCATTTCTGTAGATGTACGTTTAGCTCGAATACCATCGAATACACATACATTTTATTTTTAATTCTTCGCTTATATCAATCCCTGGACATTAACTTTTTTGGTTTAACGGTCGTGCATGAGAAGCCACATGACTATAGATACAACTAAGGGAATGACACGTGGTCTGAAATGGGAAAACATTACGCCCGAGCCGAAGAGGTCTATAAGGATGTCTTCCCAACCTAAATGCTAGTCCCCAAGCAAATAATTTCCAGTGTTTTCCTCTCTTTCTTCTTTATCAGACTCCTTCTCAGCTCCATTCTCGTTACCTTGAGCGTGTAGTCAATTCTAGCTACCATGTCAACCTATTCTCTTCCTACGGCTATGACACCGCCTGGACATGCGCACTGACCCTCAACGCCTCCATACCAATCCTGAGCTCAATGAATCTAACTCTTAAAGACTTCAGTTACACGAGCTCTGCTATTCGGAGAGTATTTGTTGACATTCTAAAAAATATTTCATTCACTGGGATGACAGTAAGTACTGTTGCCATAGAAATATTGACGTCATTGATCTTTGCATTGAATGACGAAGATTGTTTTGTTGCTTGTAGGGTAAAATCCGTTTCGATAGAAATTTTGATCGTATAACGAAGCTAGAGATTACTCAAATACAAGGTAAAGAGGCTAAAGTGAACCAAAATCTCTTCATTGTATAATATTGTGCATCATTTGAAAGTAGTCAGTTGTTATCGAACTCTGAAGCAACCTCTGCGCCGGTTCTAAGTCAGGGCACGTTGGATCGGAATTTAGCATGGATTCAAATTTAGCCAATCGCTGAGAATATGAGGATGATATGATTGTTATCAAATATTAATATTATCTAATATTATCTATAATACAGGTGACAGTCAGAGAAGGGTGGCCCTGTACGACATGGAGAACAACTCGTACATAGACGACCCTAATTCATCATATCAGTGGACTGGTAAATAGAGCACTCAGATTTCCATTATTTATCACTTATATACTATCATAAATGTTACGCGACTTTTGTTCAATTTAATGTGGCAAATATACTAAGTGCAATCACAAGCCTCCGGCTCTAGAGTACGTAGTCACCCCCTAACCCGTATAGTGGCCCTCTGTGTGAGGTAGCAGATCGAGTGGGAAATGTAAATATCACCTATTGAACATGCGCAATATAATTATTAAAATTATCAATCGCAGTGGAGCTCCACGCAGGCTATCACTTCCCGACAGAAAAGAAATTTTAAAGCGCATTAGTTGATCGACTTAATGTATTTCATGTGTTAAAGGTAATTACGTACCAGTGGATGGTCTGCGAATCACCAACAAAGAACTAACTATCTCCTCCTGGCTGTTCTGGTCTGTGACTGCATTGTCATTGATTGGCATCACCTTTGCTTGCTCTGTCTTGATCTTTAATGTGAAAAAAAGGGACATCAGGTAAGTGAAGGCAGCATGGCTTATTTATTATTGTGGTAGTCAAGGATAGGTTCTTTCGTCTTTCACTGAACTCGTTTTGACTCTTTACAGTCAAGCTACAGTTTTATGAAAGCATTTACATATCAAACTTTCTCCTGTCGCTCGTGTGGCCATCTATATTTGATAAGCTTACCTTAAGTGAACACAGATCAATTTTTGGTTATTTTCCCGCCATTTAGAGCTTTAAAATGTCGAAAACATGAATCAAAACTGCAGATATTATAGTGAAGAAACAATTGAAATTGTCCACCATCTTGAATTTAGCTTAGAAACCTGGCCTTTGACAAAGGAAGCCCAAAACGCCTAACACCACAGGGATCCCACGCGAACGACAATAAGTTTTGATATGAAAACGAAAAAAAGAATCTTTTTCGTGACATTATTTTAAAATGTTTACATGTATTGTGGTGCATGTTACTTCATAGCCGCCAAATTCGTTGAAGATAACCGAAAGAATTCCTCTTTCCTTCTCTTCTTAGAGCAACCAAATTGGCGACTGTTTCATTGTTTGGTAATCTCGAGGGATTTTGAGTCGCGAATGAAATATAGCCGTGCCTTTGCATCGAAGCGAGACGAGCTTGCAATGAGCTTGCAATGATAGAGACCTTTTTTAACACCTTGGAAAATTATTCACATGCCGGTCTCTATCATTGCAAGCTCACCGCGTTTGTCTGGCCTCGATGCAAAGGCACGGCAACCTATCAAGATGGCGCCTGGAACTGTGAAGGGGACTATAGCTCTGGATTAGTCTCAAGTTTGCGTAAAAAGATATTCATTTGTTCCAGTGAAGGTCCGTGGAATTTCGAAAGTCCGTGGAATTATATTGTTGAAGTTGTGCATTCTTTACTTTACTGTTGGTTGGAATACTTTGATACTGAAATGAGGCTAATCCTGAGTAAACGAGTCTGTAATCAATTGTTATTGCATGAATTCGACAATGGTCTATTGAAACTTCTTAAATGTTTTTCCGTACATTTTTCTGTAGGTTCATCAAGATGTCTTCTCCTAATCTTAACAACGTTCTCATCATTGGATGTATTCTGGCCTACATCAGTGGCATCATCAGCGGAATTAATAATTACGACCTGTCAATCATATGCCAGGTATATAGACCACGTGTCATTCCCTAGACTATCATTTTTTGTTTAATAGTTGCGCATGACCAAGAACCAAGGACCAAGGACCAAGAATCTTATTCTCAAATGAAGAATCATCAAACCGAAGCTGAAAAGGTCTATAGCATGAATATTTTCTAAACCACTTTGGCCTGCGGAAGACTGTTTGCGTATGCGTGCGTGTAATTCAGCTAATTTACCAAGAATTCAAGAGTGCTTTAGTATGAAAAGAAGTTATCGTTTTCTGCGTATTTACGAAACATTTCGTGACCATACTTAGCTCTTGTAAAAATTAGCCTTAAGCTTAAAGAACTAATGTTAGTGTTTGCATACGTACGACTACAAGCATGTGCAGACAAATTTCACACCTTGATGCTCATTCAAATTGATCTTATGGACATGCGCATTACGTGTTTTACCGCTGAGCAGCACGTGTAAGTGATTCACTACTGGTATGATTTATAGTAGAGTGTGGTTTATTTCAGGCCGAGATTTGGATCGTGACAATAGGTTTTACGATGGCGTACGGCGCTATGTTTAGCAAGACTTGGCGAGTACATGTGATTTTCTTGAACTCAAAGAAATCAACCAAACGGGTACTGTTTTGATATTGATATATTATAAATATATTTTTAATCAGCTATTTTTATATTAATATATTCTATACTTGGAGATAAGGGTCCAATGTTACTACGAATAGGGTAATCAAGGGTGGTGTAGCGGTAGTACGCTCTTATCTCACCTCTTTTGGGGTCTCAGGTTTGATTCCTGGACTTGGTATCAGATGTGAGAAAAGTCTATTAGGTCTCTCTTGATTCAAGGATTTTTCCAAGGTTTTCTGGTGTTATTCCGCCTCCTAAGTCAAATTCGGTCTGAAAGCCCAGAGGTTTTTTTCAGGGTGTATTGATAAAATTCAAACAGGGACCCCCCAAAAAGTTAATTTTCTATATGAAGAAGAGTCTTTCGGGTTCATGTCCACGAGATCTGTCGGACAGTTTTAACTGCTGTTTTTTCTTCTTTCATTTGATTTCCTTCAGGTCATCATTCACGACAGACAGTTGTTTGGTATTCTCGGATTCTTACTGCTCATTGATCTAGTGATTCTTATTACATGGCAGTTGATTGATCCTCTTGTTGAAATAAGATACGACATGCCTCTTGTGGTTCGTTATATTCTTCTTCTTTCATTTTAAACGTTCTCTAATTCTTAAACAGAGGAAGCCTGGGTTTGACCGCAAAACATCTATGAATTGCTTGAAGGAATACGCGCACAAAAGATAACTCTTATCCATACATGCCTTGCGGCCGTAACTATGATCCAGATTTTCGTGTATAATACAAGGGAGCACGTTAAAATTTTGATTGTGTTGGTTTATCTTCGATTTTATCGCACGTATTCTAAGATATAGCAGGCGTTCCTTGTAGTTCTTGTTTACGTGCGCGCGCTACACTTCATGGCAGGCGTTCCTTGCTTTAGTCGGGCAAGCGAATTTACTCCGAAAACCGACGAATATTTTTCGTCATTCCCTTCCTTACACGATCGTAAGCCATTCGGATCGGCCGAAACCAAAACACTACGAGGAACGCCTGTCACAAGATGGATCGCGCGCGCTAGATAGATCAACCAAGAACAACGACTTTCCTTACACAAACAAAATTTTAATGTGCTCCCTTGTATAATATTAAATACCTATGAGTGTTAACTTATCTGAACCATTTAGACAGGGCTGAGAAACGAGTCCGAAGATTTGTTTTTTTTTTGTTTTTAGAACTTTTTTAATGTTTGTAGTAAAATACCCGCACTGAAAACCTCGACGTATTTTCGTGCTGAATGTGGAATTTTCTAAAACAATTTGGCGCATGCGCTTACGCTTATAAGACACCGCTGACAAGTGACTATTTTCTCGTGTTAGATTTCCGGAGACTCTGCTGTTCTTCCCTACGTTAGGCTATGCGACTGTAAACACATGATGTTATGGAAAGCTATTATGTTCTGTTACCAAGGTAACTGTGATCTATCTGGAGAAAGGGAGGAGAGGGGAGGGGAGGGTAAGGAAGAAATTGTCTAGCTCATGCATGTTATCTTATCTGACAGGACTTTTATTACTCTTTGGTATGTATCTCGCCTGGGAAACCCGTAAAGTGCACATTCCAGCATTGAACGATAGCAAGTTGATTGGCATGTGTGTGTACAATACTGTCATCCTGTTTGGTGTCGTTATACCTGTTCAAGCAGTGCTCCTGACCAATCCAACGGTTTCTTTCGCTTTGATGGCCCTTTTATCGATATTCTGTACGAGTTTTACGCTCTGTGTTGTCTTCATTCCCAAGGTATTAAATGAACGATCTATCAAATCAACATAATAACCGGATTGTTAGTTAAAGCAGTTTTCTGAATTAGAATTTGTGGGATAACGTGCGTTAAGGAGAAGATGCAGCCAAGGATTCGTGTACTATAGAAATAGCTAAAATAACAACAGGACGATTAGAACAGAAATAAAAATCGAAAATTTGCAAAGGTGCATCTTCTTAATCATAATTATAATTTCTTGGCCCCTACTCAAAACCATAGACCCGCCCATGGGACCGACCATTACTTAGAGAGGGTGGGCTTGTGTTTAAATTTTCAAAACCCCTTTTTATAAAACACCAACTGAAGATATAGTAAACAAGCTTCTTCGGGATAAATATTAATTTTTTTTCGTGCAGAGCAATTCATAGTGAAACTATGTCGGGTTTTTTTTCAGATAATGTTTCTTCGAAACAACGATGGAAACGATATACAGGCATGTACAGGGAATTCTAATGGCAATGGAAAAGATAGTCGAGTAAGAGATACGGATGGATGGATGGAGGGATGTATACACTTATTTCAATAAAGTTAGTCACCAAAAACCTAGAAAGCTGAGATCACTGAGCATCCTGGGAAACTTTTCATATCAAAAAAGCATTTATATATAAAGCTTTGTTTAATACAAACTGCAGCTCGATGATGCTCACAAGAGGTGAGACTGTAACCGGTAAAAGATTCGCAAGTCCATGAACAGTTATCAAGCGGTTAAACGTGTAAAATGAATTCACCCATAATCCTTGTTGGCCTCAGCTTTATAGCTTTTCAGGTGACTAACTTTAACTAACTTTATTGAAATAAGTGTATGTAAATGGAGTAAATACATGATAACCTTTTAAATTCTCATATTATTGTTATTGTTTCCAGCACAACACAGCAAGTGGTGGATCAAAGCAGGAACAAGCCGATGTTATCCAAAACAATGTGGATCATAATTAAAACCTCTCAACTTGTCCTTGAGGACAGACCATTAAATTTTTGAGGGGAATGTTGGTCAATTTATTTTGTGCAGGAATTTTTTTTACCCCTCGTGACTGTGCAGGTTTTTTTGGGACAAAATTTGAAATTTTTTTCTTGCACTTTTCTTACGCCCTCTCAAAAATCTACATGTAATGGTCCGTCCCTTATAAACCTCGATTACTGTGCGACTATGTGTAGTATACCAACCAAGGCCACCCACACGAATTTTCATAAAAATTAGCCAATCACGATTGAGTATTTAAACGATAGGATCTGTTTCAAATTTTCACATTTTCCTCTTTAAAATCATTTTTTTTGTTTGTTTACACATAGTTAACTATGGTTTATGCGAGTGTGTGTATGATCAGGAGTGAACAAGAAACAGTTTAAAAATCCACGAGAATTCACTAAACATTTGTTATACAGCGTTAATGTCATTTGTGAATTTGATTTAAAATTTGTTTGTGTGGCCTTGGTTGATGTAGTGTCGCCTTGGTTGATGTAGTGTCGCACTGTAAAAGCAATTTAATCTCTGTAAAAAGATACAAAATACTAATAAACGATTTGAAAGAAATGTGTATTAAATAACATGTTGAATGATCAACACTTCAAGATTCGTGTAAATAGTTAATTATTAACTCATGTCAACAATGCAAAAAAAAAACTTCAGTAATTCTTACTAGACGGTAGGAAATTACAAGGATGAAGAAAGATTCAATAGTTACTGCATGCTAAAAGACTAATGGCTGGTGTTTATTTACTCTAAACTCGTCATTAACCGACGTAAACTCTTTATATCAATACTCACCAAACATCAAGACGATTCCGGTCGGGATTGTGCTGTTCAGTGAGCAAACAGGAGGCCGCAGATGTATAGGCCAAAGATAATGGATAGCTATAACCACGTACAATGAAGAGAGATCCCAGAATCTTATCAGGTAGTTGATCGTAGGACAAATCTCGCTCTGTTCTCAGTAGAGAACTGGTTTTTTTTTTTTTTTTTTTTTTGAATAATCACATGGGCTCCTCACACGCGTACACGTGAGAATGTGAGAAGAATACATGCCTGAATGCATGCCTGAAAGCAAGCGGGTTTATACTCACACGGATTCGATTAATTTCATATTTATCCCATGGGGGTTTCTTTGATTCCACGATTTCATTCGATTTTGACAAGCAAGTGTTTTTATCGCTCAATATCTAAGGCCCTGTCCACACTATAAATATTTTTGAAAAGGTTTTTTTTCTTTGCGGATTGGCCTTCCGTCCACGCGCATAATCGGTGAATGCGCCACTTGAAAACTCAATTTTTCGAAAACAATTACGGCGTGTACGGGTGAAAACGGTTCGGACTACGCTTGAACAAAAATTTCTTTGAAAACAGAATCTAGATTTTAAAAAAATCCATTTTCAAAAATATCCGGATACGCGTGCGGGACGGTACATATTAGGTATCACATGATCAGTTCACACAATTATACCAGGTAAACTTATTTTTATATAAAGAATATTTATAAAACCAGTCAAAAAAGAGATTGTCAGTTCTCATCCTTTCTGCCTCCCTCCCCACCCCAAACTCCGTATTTTATTGAAGTTGATTCTTGGAGTTTTAAGACTTTTAAGAGCTATTTTGATCCTTTGCAATTTAGACATCTTCAATCCTCTTTTATTTCATAATTTTGGATAAAGCTAACAAATACTTGTAACAATTGATAAGTATACATATTGATAGACTGAATACATACAGGTATAGAAAGTGTGAATTGTAAATGCTCTAAATGCTATTTTTGTTAACGTTTATTTAGTTTAACTTAGTTTCTAGCCACTGAGCAAAAAATAAATAACCAAAAATAACTTAAAACAAACAAAAATAACAACCAAATAGCCTTTCTGGTTTACCATCCAACGTTGTAGATAGGGCAGCCAATAGCACACCGCCTTCAAAACTTATTAAAAACAACGTTGACATTTTTGTTACTCAATCTTTCTAACTCCTCTACATTTTCTTTGGGCATTCTTACTTTACTCCTTTCGATTTCTCGCTCTAATTTTTCAGCTTTGATTTCTTCTGCTCTTCTCTTTGTTTGACGTATCTTCACTGACCTCTCTCCACACTCCAGTGCTGTGTCTAACATTGTTAGAACATTTTCTTCAGTTTCTGCGTTGAGCCGTGACATTCCAGCGATCCAGTTGTGGACGAGGAATGTGTGACAGGCCAGGCTTTTGGTTGCTTCGCGGGATTTTGAGATGACTTCTTCGACTTTGCTGCTATCGATTCGATCACTGTGCGTTATGACAGTCAGTAAGGTGATCGCTGTTGGGAAAAATAGAGACACAATCTATTGTTAATAATGCAAATCAAATATATGCATTGCGCCCATATCTTGCATGACATTCCAGATTCCACATCTTGCAATCTTACAGTGGCCCATAAGGGACATGCAGTTATTTAAAGGTTATACGAGTTGCTGATTGTTCAATTTCGTAGTCTCAATTTCTGACAAGTATATAAACTTCTGTAAGGAAAATTGTCCCCTATCACTGCTTCCCCAGAGCCAGATTTTCTTCCCATATTATGATTAAGTATTAAGATTGGAAGACTAAGGCCTAGGGCAAACGTCGAACTTTCCATGCACGGAACTTAATTACATCAAAGAATGCTGCCTCATTATCACCTGATATCCATTGTTTTTAATGAGTTCGGTGCATGGAAAGTTCGACGTTTGCCCTAGGCCTAAGTCATGTAGCCATGGTTATTGATGGTTTCCTTACATTCTCTTCCAAGTCTGTGGAGTACGAAGTTCAGTTTTTGGTGATAATCCTCATTAAGCACTCTGACGTCATCCCCCTTGATTACCCATAATACCACGTGTACTTGGTGGGATATGGGAGGTTTGTTGAGCCTGTAACCACCTTTACCAGCCCTTGCTGTCTGACTCTGACCTCTGTCTTGGCGATCAATTTCTTCTCCTTGTTTCACGGTGCCGTACAGGATTCGGAAGAATTCGGCTGTGAAGAACAAGACGCATGAAATCAATACAATGTACATGAACTGGAATAGACAGACAGACGGACGGACAGACCAGGGCGTAACCAGGGGGAGCACAGGGTGCACGTGCAACCCCCCCCCCCCCCACCGCCCATAAAAGTTCTGCTCATCCGTCTCCTTTTGTTTTAAAATTGCATGCAAATGTTTGATTAAATGAAGACTACTTTCCATCTGCATATTGTAGCAATTTTAAGAATCACTCACTAGGGCTGTCCACAAGTTGCTCCAAAAAGTCAAAAAAGTTGCTCAAAAGGTGCTCAATAAAAAGTTCATATTTGCAATCAATTTGATGATTTAATATCATAGAATCCAGTGAATAAGTAAGTAATGTCTATATTTACTGAGGGTAATACTTAATATACTATATAATATTTTATACAGTAAGACACTCGTCTTTGAACTCCTTCATTCTGTCCCACGAAGAAACATTTGGATCCACTGTACCGCGGACATTTCTTTTCTTTTCTGCAGGATTGCTCTGCACTTTCCTTTCTCGGGCAATACTAGCTTTCGTTGGCTCACTCAAATTAGCTCCAGCAATGGCTGCTTTTGTTAATGGGCTTTGTTCTGTGTCAGAATTACTCGAGCATGTGGCCGCCATTTTGTTGACATTTTAGATTTTACAACCGTTGTCCACATGCATAGCAGTACAATACAAATTGCAAAGACAAGTATTGAAATCATTAGAGTAAAAAAAAAACTCACTTTTTGTCCTTATTTGGCGTGATAATTTGTTTAAATTCATGTAAAAGTTAAAAAAGAACGAAAGTTGCTAGAAAATGAAAAGTTGCTCAAAGTTGCTCGAAAGTGAA